GTGGCACAAGGACTGGTCTACAAAAGTAAAACTTAAGAGCCTCATTCCATAAAGTAATTATCATATATCAATACTATAAATATTTATGATTGTAACCTAGTAAGTTTCACGGTAACACACCTGGAGCGTCTAAATAATTATCTTACTCTTTTAAAAATGGTTAATTCAACTCGTATTCAAATATTTACACATCTTGGTTTAATCTGTCAAAACGACTCAACGGTGAAAGACATAGAAAAAGGCACACTGCTGCATTAATCAGATGCTGGACGACAATCGCTCTTAAATTTTTATCATTTATTTTTTATTAATCTCTATATATAAAAGGCAGGATGTGTGTGTGTGTGTGTGTGTGTGTGTGTGTGTGTGTGTGTGTGTGTGTGTGTGTGTAACGAATGCACGGCCGCAATTTTCGACGTATTTGCACCAAAATTTACATGCACATGCTCCAAGTTAGCGGGAAAGGCCAAGACCGACTTTGCATTTCGCAACTCCCATCGATAGTGGAAATAATCGATTTTTTCATGCTTTTACGCCAGTTTTCATGTAGTTTGCGGCCATTTTCTACTGGCCAGAGTGAGAGCCAATAGCTGACTGACACGAATGTTAACTAGCATGATAGCATGAAAAAAAAATCGATAGCTGCATTCGTCACAAGTGGGAAAAATTTAAATCTGCATGGCACTTTACTCCAATTGGCTCATTCGCTTGCTTAAACTCAACGTTGATTCTGATTCCGCAGAACTGGGTTGGGTGTGAAAAAGTATTTTGTTGTTAACATTTTTTTTTCATTCGGTTTTTCCAGTTACGAGTCCTTTTTTTAAAGCTGATCGTTTTGTGTTCATTTTGTTTAGTTCTTTTTTCGTAACAGATTTAATGTTTAGTATAGAGCTTAGAAAAAATTCACAGTGTGAGATAGGCAAGAAGTAAGTCATATAGCAACATCAGCACGGCAAAGGGCACTCCTTTAAAGGCAAGGAAGGGCAAAAATATTTTAAGTCAAGTGATAGCGATTGCTGTATGCGTCTTACGATTTTTGAATCAAGCACGGGAAACGCTGGGCCATGCTGCTATATAAAACAGAGGATGTCTGCCTGTCTGTCTGTCTGCATGATACCTTTTCACTCGAGGTCTATCCAACCGATTTTGACCAAACTTGGCAATTTCATTCTATAATGTAAGAGATAGGTTCTTATCGAAAAAGTCGATAATTTTTAAAAATGCAATAATAATAAAGCTGATCAAAAATCGATAAACTCAACTTTTTTCCTCAGATTTCGTTCAAACTCGATATGTAGGTTATTTACAACAGGACGAACTCAACGCTATCTCAATTTTATTTCTATGCCACAGCGTTTAACGAAAAACCGCGAAAAACGAAAAATCGATTTCAACACAGATCGATTTCAACACAAATTTTAACCTAAAATTCGCTCAATTTTTCAGCAATCTAATACAAACTTCACTTAATTGTAGCCAACAATAGGTTGAATGTTTAACAGTCATTTAACTTGATAACTGAGTCCACCCATATAGTGAAATCCCGCTTAAATGGCGAAAAATGGCGATCTTTACTGAAATTGCACAGCGCATAAAACAAGAAAGGAGACTGGAATAATCCAGACATTATACTTGGAACAAATTGCATACGTCTTGATAGAAAATGAATTAAGCACACAAAATGGAAAGACGTACATAACAAGGATGCGTTTTCTCATTGGATTTTATTAAAACTATACAACGAATCAGTCCTGTGAGGACTAGAAGTCCCACCTGAATTTATTATCGGTGGACACAAAATTAACAATATAAGATATGTAGGTGACACCGTATTGATAGCAGACAAAGGAAAAAAAAATGCCGGGAACTCCTACATAAGTGAGTAAACAAAAACGAGAAGAGATGCCTAACCATCTACTTAATACTAAAATTTTACTGCGTGAGTGCTAGCGTGTTAATTCCGCCCGGCTCATAATGATTTAAGTTAATCTGATTTAAGTGAATAAGATTTAAAAATACGAATTGTTTATATATTAAGTATTTTTAATTTAACTGTTATATAGGAATAAAGTGTCGCTGCCGACACTTGAGTTTGAACATAGATCACCACTGAGCAAACAGGCGATCCCATTATTAAATAAAGCCGACCACGTAACCATAGAGGAAACGCATACATGTGTCGTGGGTAGCGTGTGTCTAATTGATCGCTATTTCTAGTCTTTCTAAACTTTTATTAGTATTCGGATCGCTATTTCTATTCTATCCTCTATTACTATACGGAACGTTATTCTCTTCTCTATTCACTATACTATTTCTCTATTCGGATCACTATTCGGTGGTTACTTTTCGAGCGGATATTATCGAGCAAGTACTATTAGTGCGAGTGATATTTGAAAGAATCTGACACCAGTATTGTTCAACGGCGTTAATATAATTTTATCTGCGATTACAAAGCCTCTACTATAACGAGCATTACGAAAGTGACAACGAGTATTCGTGGACATCACAAAAATTGCAACGAGTGTCCGTTGACATCACAAAATGAACTTTCTTCAAACAATTATTTTAATGAAAATATTTTAAAGTTAAAGACAGACACAAAGAGATCCCGATTTGCTGGCTTGTCCAGTTGTTTTATTATTTATATTTTAGCTATCTTTAAACTTAGATTATTTTAAATATTTAAAAATATAATTTTTTGCATATTTAAGAGAAATTTTAAATATGTAGGAAGTACTTTAACAGATGATATAAATATCTGGGAAGTGCTTTAACAGATGATATAAATATCTGGGAAGTGCTTTTACAGATGATATAAATATCTGGGAAGTGCTTTAACAGATGATATAAATATCTTGGAAGTGCTTTTATAGATGATATAAATATCTGGGAAGTGCTTTAAGAGATGATATAAATATCTGGGAAGTGCTTTTATAGATGATATAAATATCTGGGAAGTGCTTTAACAGATGATATAAATATCTGGGAAGTGCTTTTATAGATGATATAAATATCTGGGAAGTGCTTTAACAGATGATATAAATATCTTGGAAGAACTTTAACGATGATATAAATATCTTGGAAGTGCTTTTATAGATGTTATAAATATCTGGGAAGTGCTTTAAGAGATGATATAAATATCTGGGAAGTGCTTTTATAGATGATATAAATATCTGGGAAGTGCTTTAACAGATGATATAAATATCTGGGAAGTGCTTTTATAGATGATATAAATATCTGGGAAGTGCTTTAACAGATGATATAAATATCTGGGAAGTGCTTTAACAGATGATATAAATATCTGGGAAGTGCTTTTATAGATGATATAAATATCTGGGAAGTGCTTTAACAGATGATATAAATATCTTGGAAGAACTTTAACGATGATATAAATATCTTGGAAGTGCTTTTATAGATGTTATAAATATCTGGGAAGTGCTTTAAGAGATGATATAAATATCTGGGAAGTGCTTTTATAGATGATATAAATATCTTGGAAGTGCTTTTATAGATGTTATAAATATCTGGGAAGTGCTTTAAGAGATGATATAAATATCTGGGAAGTGCTTTTATAGATGATATAAATATCTGGGAAGTGCTTTAACAGATGATATAAATATCTGGGAAGTGCTTTTATAGATGATATAAATATCTGGGAAGTGCTTTAACAGATGATATAAATATCTGGGAAGAACTTTAACGATGATATAAATATCTGGGAAGTGCTTTAACAGATGATCAAAATATCTGGGAAGTGCTTTTACAGATGATATAAATATCTGGGAAGTGCTTTTACAGATGATATAAATATCTGGGAAGTGCTTTAAGAGATGATATAAATATCTGGGAAGTGCTTTTACAGATGATATAAATATCTGGGAAGTACTTTAACAGATGATATAAATATCTGGGAAGTGCTTTTACAGATGATATAAATATCTGGGAAGTACTTTAACAGATGATATGAAACATGACAGCGAAATCTGAAGGAACATTGGATTAGCGAACGATGTCTTCTGATAATTAGACGAAGTACTAAGAAACAGGAAGAAATCATTAGAAATAACGAAAATACTGCTGAAATGCTATATAATATCAATCTTTTTATATAGCAGTGAATACTGGATAATTTTTTTATATAGCAGTGAATACTGGACAGTTACTGGACAGATGAAGAGAGGACTCGAGGCAACAGAGATGTGATTCTACAGAAGGATAATGAGAATAGATGAATGAAACATGTAAGCAAAACAGGAAGTTTTAAGGAAAATGAAAAAACTGAGCGACAGTTGGAATTTCTAGGATGCCTAATGAGGAAAAGCGGCTTGGAAAATGTGACATACACAAGACATATTGAAGTCAAGAGGGACAGAGGGCAACATTAAGCTATCTAAAGACATTCTGTAAATGGATGTCAGAACAACGATTTGGAAGGATGATGAAAATACATTGCCAACAGTTACAAAGGATAGGAAGTTGTGGAGAATTAGGATTATCTATGTCCTGAAGGGACAGGGAAGAAGAAGTTTAGTTAAATGTTGGTACAAGGTCACAATTGAGGAGCACTGGAGGATCCAACTTCACAAGTAAGGGTATGCGAGACGAAACTGATAACAGCTCTTCATGGCGATATTCCGCTGACAATATTTAGATATTTATCATTTCATTAATATTGATACTTACTAATATTGAAGTGTCTGGCGCAAAGATATAACGAAAAGGGATTCAGTTAATGTTTATTTTTTAAATACTACCACATGAAAAAAGCGGATTTATATATTCAGGACGTAGTTGAAACCTGATCTCCAAATCTCATGTTTTTATTATCTGGAAATCAGCCATAACTCATTGGAAATGGTATTGGGACGGTTATCCGTTGGATTCTTTCAGGAGCTGAATTAAGAACAGTTCCCCAAAACAGGTTGTCGTCCAAGGATAGTCTAGCGCACTATTTAAACCAATAACTAGATCTATCTCTTCTCATGACTTAAGGACACCTCGCGTTAAAACACGGCTTCACGTACGATCGCTGATGCTAAGCAACATCGAGCATGGTCAGTATCTCGATGGATGACCGCTTGGGAATACCCGGTGCTGTTAGCTTAGATATGCAAGTGGTACAAAGGATAATGGCTCGGATAATCATGAAAAATACATTGCATTTTGGGCAATGATCTAATCTATAGCAACCATCAAAATTTCAAACTTACTGGTGTGAATTCCAGGCTGACTATTGTTCAAGCATTTTACTGATGACAAGTTCTCACAACCAAAATATTTGAATGTGATATTGCCTCTGCTTAGCCGAAGGGAAAGTTCTCTTGAACCCCGTTCAGTGGCGTTGTATAAAGCAGAATAAAAGGAAAGGGCACAAATCTTTTCTTATGTATATAACAAGGGAGGGTTAAAAGAAAAAAAAGACAAACCAAAAGTGAAATAAAGCGAGTGAATGAATAAAATGAAGGATGAAGAATAGCAGTTGCTACCGAAACGAAGCGTGAAATACTGAGAAATTATAGCCTGTTTAACGCGCGTAACTTTTCGTGTAGTTTTAGAAAATTTCAGTAATTGTTTTCCAATATATTCGATTCATATAGATCGAATTCGTAGATGAGCAAATCACGCAATATGACGAGCCAATGATGAGCATTGATGTGCAAATCACCCAATATGATGTAGATGAGCATAGATGAGCAAATCACCCAATATGATATAGATGAGCATAGATGAGCAAATCACCCAATATGATGTAGATCTGCATAAATGAGCAAAGCACCCAATATGATGTAGATAAGCAAATCAACGAATATGATGTAGATGGGCATAGATGAATAAATGACCCAATATGATGTAGATGAGCAAATCACCCAATATGATGTAGATGGGCATAGATGAGTAAATCACCCAATATGATGTAGATGAGCAAATCACGCAATATGATGTAGATGAGCATAGATGAGCAAATCACCCAATATGATGTAGATGAGCATAGATGTGCAAATCACCCAATATGATGTAGATGAGCATAGATGAGAAAATCACCCAATATGATGTAGATGGGCATAGATGAGCAAATCACCCAATATGATGTAGATGGGCATAGATGTGTAAATCACCCAATATGATGTAGATGAGCAAATCACCCAATATGATGTAGATGGGCATAGATGAGTAAATCACCCAATATGATGTAGATGAGTATAGATGAGTAAATCGCCCAATATGATGTAGATGAGTAAATCACCCAATATGATGTAGATGAGCAAATCACACAATATGATGTAGATGGGCATAGATGAGCAAATCACCCAAATTATCTAGATGAGCATAGATGAGCAAATCACGCAATATGATGTAGATGAGCATAGATGAGCAAATCACGCAATATGATGTAGATGAGCAAATCACGCAATATGATGTAGATGGGCATAGATGAGTAAATCACCCAATATGATGTAGATGAGCATAGACGAGCAAATCACCCAATATGATGTAGATGAGCATAGATGAGCAAATCACCCAATATGATGTAGATGGGCATAGATGTGTAAATCACCCAATATGATGTAGATGAGCAAATCACCCAATATGATGTAGATGGGCATAGATGAGTAAATCACCCAATATGATGTAGATGAGTAAATCACCCAATATGATGTAGATGAGTATAGATGAGTAAATCGCCCAATATGATGTAGATGAGTAAATCACCCAATATGATGTAGATGAGAAAATCACCCAATATGATGTAGACGGGCATAGATGAGCAAATCCCCAAATATGATGTAGATGAGCATAGATGAGCAAATCACGCAATATGATGTAGATGTGCAAATCACGCAATATGATGTAGATGAGCAAATCACGCAATATGATGTAGATGAGCATAGACCAGCAAATCACCCAATATGATGTAGATGAGCAAATCACCCAATATGATGTAGATGAGCATAGATGAGAAAATCACCCAATATGATGTAGATGAGCAAATCACGCAATATGATGTAGATGAGCATAGATGAGCAAATCACCCAATATGATGTAGATGAGCATAGATGAGAAAATCACCCAATATGATGTAGATGAGCAAATCCCCAAATATGATATAGATGAGCATAGATGAGCAAATCACGCAATATGATGTAGATGTGCAAATCACGCAATATGATGTAGATGAGCAAATCACCCAATATGATGTAGATGAGCATAGATGAGCAAATCACCCAATATGATGTAGATGGGCATAGATGTGCAAATCACCCAATATGATGTAGATGAGCATAGATGAGTAAATCACCCAATATGATGTAGATGGGCATAGATGAGCAAATCCCCCAATATGATGTAGATGAGTAAATCCCCCAATATGATGTAGATGGGCATAGATGAGTAAATCACCCAATATGATGTAGATGAGTATAGATGAGTAAATCGCCCAATATGATGTAGATGAGTAAATCACCCAATATGATGTAGATGAGCAAATCACCCAATATGATGTAGATGGGCATAGATGTGCAAATCACCCAATATGATCTAGGTGAGCATAGATGAGCAAATCACCCAATATGATGTAGATGAGCAAATCACGCAATATGATGTAGATGAACAAATCACCCAATATGATGTAGATAAGCATAGATGAGCAAATCACCCAATATGATGTAGATGGGCATAGATGAGTTAATCACCCAATATGATGTAGATGAGCATAGATGAGCAAATCACCCAATACGACGAGCCAGTTGTAAAATGTTCTATTACAGGGATCAGCAACCTTTTGCTAACAATGTGCTGATTTAGGGTTTTAAAATGATTCAATGTGCCAACAGCATACGTATTTTTGTGTCACAACCTTACCTGGTGGGGAGTTGAGTAAATACAAATTACTATATAGTAGATTTGAAGGCCTTTAAACCTCGAATGTGTGGGAAAATTAAGCTCCAATTTCGCTATTTATACATGCAGATGATAAAACATACGGCGCCCTTGAGTATCGTTGCTTCGGAAAAATGTGGTTCGAGGAATCGATTAATAAAAATTATTTTTATTCATTCTGTATTATTTTCCGATATATGCAATGGCTAAGGAGATATTTGGGAATAAATTTGAAAAATCCCGATTTTTAACCTTTTTTTGTAAGAGCAAAGCGACTGCACTCGTGAGCTTGCGAGCGACCTGCTAACAGTATCTATAGTTTAGTATATATTAAAATTGAAACAGCTAAATATCTAGTTTGCGTTGTAATAGTTATTAATTTCACACATACACACACAAAAAGAAGAAGAAGAAAAAAGTGCAGCTCAAATGTAATGTTGAAATCAACCATTTCAATGCAGGAATCATTCGCCATTGATTGACCAAGCTGTTTCAAATGAAATTTACAAAATCTTTTTCCTAAAACACTTTTTCAGGAAATTAGATTTCTGAAGTCTTCTTTTATCGTTATTTCTTGAATTGAAGGGAATTTCCTTCCAGACGTTTTGTTGAAGGTCGTGTGTAAAGTTAACAGCATGACTAGATCATTATTTTTATAATATATCTAAAAAGAAATCCATTGGACCTATTCGTATGAAACTATTACATATAGTATATGTTTTATCAATCCATATCAAGGAAATTCTTTATAACATGGGTCGGTAACCTTTTGCTAACTATGTACTGACTTAGGGTTTTAAAATCATTCAGTGTGCCAACAGCATACGTATTGTTATACAAGTCAAAGTCAATATACCTGTTCTACAATATATTTTATATAGTAATATAGTGTATATATATATATATATATATATATATATATATATATATATATATATATATATACTTTAGTATATATTAAAATTGAAACAGCTAAATATCTTCTTTGCGTTAAAGTAGTTATTGATTCGGACTTTGTGATGTCATTAGCGGCTGCGTGCCATTGGAAATTATTTGGCATGATCCATGTGACACGCGTGCCGTAGGTTGCCTGTTGTAGAACTCTGCAAGATGCAAACTCTTCACCCAGTACAAACCAGGAGAATAAACTTAATTGTCGTAGAAAAAAAAATCAATCAAACGGTGAATACTTGTGTGCTAACGGGCAAAAGGAGACTAAGAGAAAGAAATGTCGAACAATCTGTTTAGTGGGGACTGAATATGCAAGAAGCAAAAAGAAGCGAGATACGAACTGCATTTTGGGTTACCGTTCTTTATAGGTGGAATTGACTTAACATCTCTTAACAGCTATCTTCTGTCTTCGTGAAAAATATTCCTTTATTGTCCTTTTCCTCACTTCTCTTCACTAAAGTTTTCTCGTTGTCTTTCACTTCCTGTAATCCTCTGCATCTTAGTGGCATTATCCCCTTAATTGGGATGAAATGATTAAAAGAAAAATACATGCGCATGTAATATGTACATTTATTAGGTTTAGTTTGTTTTGATTTACGATATATCAACCTCAATGGGTTATTTAATGCCGACAAGATTTTTATTGCTGGTAATATATTTTTTTTCAAAAATGTATTGTTGAAAATATCTTTTTCAAAAATGTATTGCTGGTAATAATTTTTTCAAAAAAAGTATTGCTGGTATTAAAATCTGTTTGTCTTTTATAGTGTTTTGATCCATTTTGGCGGGGTAACTGTTTGCCCATAGATGGGGCCCTGACAGGTGCTACCACCCGAGTCAGTGAGGACCTGAGAACATCATCAATTAAGAGGTTTGTTCCACGCTCCTCAAAACCTTCTGATCAAATGACTTGCTGTCGGATGTAGTTTATCGTCTTACCCAGGGCGCAGATGTAGTTTATCGTCGTACCCGGGCTGGACAATCTGTTTAATGAGGACTGTGTATACAAGAAGCCAAGATGCTAGATACGAACTGTAAATGTCAAAATCATGAAAGCACAGAATGTAACTTATATGAGAAGAGTTTTAAAATTTATACAGAAAGGGTTTTAACAGACAAGGAAAATGTGACACAGAAATTCAAAAGCGCATTAGAGGAGTGAAAAATGCTTTCCAAAAGCTAAGCAAAGTATTAAGAGACAATATAGCGGATATATGGATTGCACTAAAGGTCCTTGTTGAGCTTGAGTCCCAATAAGTGTTCAAAGCAAG